CGTGCTTAGAACAGGGTATGAAGTTGATAAATACTAGGTACTGTTCTTGCTCTTACTGGCAAGTGTTCATGAGCTCTTAGCGACGTTTAACTGCAAACCATTCACGTTTCGCAGTAAGACAGAGTTGACAAAATCTTCCCTGAATATTATTAACCCCAGAAACAGACAAACAGCAACCCTCCGTGCCTAAGATCTGGGAACTACCGGAATCACAGTGATCTATACTGTAGATGGGTGCTTTTCTCTGTTTTATTTGGATTTAGGTGCCGCTTGTTTCCTTATAATAGAAAAAGGTGTTTTTTCAATATTTATTTTCCTAAATAGCTATCAAAAACAAAGAGATAAATGAAGCCAGAATCGTTTCACATTTTATCAAGTTAACTAAACACTTAACACATGTTCATGTGGATCGTGCAGTACTTCTCAAAGGTCCAGGTTGTGGTTTTGATGGGGTTTCCTTCCCGGACTCCGAAACACACCAACGTATGTTAGTTCTGACCAAGGTTGGGTGTTTCTGGGCTTTGGGAGGATGAGGTTTTTAGTGCACTGGATGTGAGTCCTAAATGCAGTGCCCACTGCTTCTCGCTCTGTGCGCCTGGAGTTGCAGCTCTTGCGGCCGGCTCTGTCTGGACCGCCTGCTTGTCCTGGTGGCAGAGGGCTCAGCGCCACCTAGTGTCCGCTGGAAGCATAGCTAGACGGACTTCCTGCTCAGAACGGACTCCCCTCCCACACTGCAGTCAATGACTACAGGGGACCGCACAGTTGATTATGTTTTGTTTTTTTCTTTTTTAACTTTCTGTGTCATTGGATTTCGAAGCTTCAGGTTCTGATGAGCTACATCGACTCAAACGCCGTGTTACCTTTTGCATTCTCTTAAAGGCTCACTCCAATAACGTTTTGCTCTACTGCAGACTTCTGTTGCTACCTTGTTATCACTTGCAGCTGTCATTGTGTAAAAGAGCTTTCTGGAAATGAGAGTTTCCTTATGATCCACTTGGCACCACAGCATGCTTCTCCCAGTACAGCATGTCCTGTATTAGAGACAGAACTCTTGTCATCCCTCCCGATTTTTTATTCTTCTCTTTTTTCAGATTGTCTACAAAGCCTGGCTGTGTTCCCAGTACTTTGAAGTCGCTCAGTTTAACTGCAGAAAGACAATTCCTTGCAAGCAATACTGTTTGGAGGTTCAGACGAGGTGTCCGTTTATATTGCCCGACAACGATGAAGTCATCTACGGGGGACTCTCCAGCTTCATCTGTACAGGTAGTGATGGTGGGAGTGGCCCACAGCCTCTCCCGCCACTCCACTTTCCTGGGGGCGCTGGCTGGCTTTGTTGTTTCCTTCTGCAGATGGATGTAACCTTGAAGATATGCCTGGTAGTTTTCCGTGCTTTCCTCATAGGTGCCCTGAAAGAACTTGGTCTGGAAAGATCACATTATCTACAGAGTGCCTGTGACCCACAGGCATTAGCTTTGCAAAAGGATAATTCTGAGGGGAAAATGTTAGCAATCATGAGGTATGCTTGAATCTGACTTAGAGTAGTTGGATGCTGTGCGCATCTTTGCATTACATAAGAACAGAGGATGTGACAAGGCCAGTAAAATTATGCTGCTTCTTCACATGGGGCTATTTTTCTGAGAAGTTTTGTGTTCCTTTATCTTAAATAAGTGTCGAGAACATAAAGAACTGTCTACCTAAGTTACTCGTGTTTGTGTGTGTGTGTGTGTGTGTGTTAGAGATGCACAATAAGGGCTGGATACAATTTTATATTATATTCCCAATTAACAATGTTTACTTCTTTCAGCAAATGTCTCAGACTGGGCCAAACACCAATATCAGCATTCAGTTTCTGGATATTGATAAGCATTACATAATTTAGACACAGAATAAAATGTAAAGAACAAAAGTAATTTTTTTTTTTTTTTAATAAATGGTGAGTAGACAAGCGAGAACAAGACACTGGCCATGGTGATGTGATGATCAGGGTTGTAGCTCTACAATACATCAGTACAAAAAGTGCTGTGTGGTCCTTGTTGTTAGATGGCTTCAGTTGCGGCAGGGTTAATTTTCAAGTTTTAAGGATAAAATGCTACCGTACATATCGAGAAACATGAAAGGCTCCTTCATGCATTAGACTTTATGAAACCCCCTAAAAGGGTGCCATATTGAGATGCTCAACATGAGAGTTTATCAAATTAGTTCTAGATCACATATTCATGTACCTATCCATTACCCATACTGTTCTAAGTGATAAGCTATCAAGAGACAGTTGACCAAATTTGTCCCTTAAGAATCTGCCTTAAGAACTGGATGACTATTTCCTGTGCTGGCCAGTCTTGTGGGAAGAACATCTAAGTGAAAGCTACGAGACGTGGACTTTTGTCCTATTTCTATTAAATACATTCTCTCTGAGCCATCAGGTAGCTCCTCATTAGTAAATTAGTAATAGATAATACCCTGCAGGCACATTTGCTATGAAGATTATGGGTAAGAGAGAAGCACAAGATATGTCATCAAAAGGCAATAGCCATTGTACATAAGAAAGTGATTTGTAGAATGTAAATGGATTTACCAATCATTTTTGTTATTCACTGAATGCTGAGGCCATTTTTCCAGCTCCTCTCTGGTGGGAAGACACGGCAAGAGTGAGATAGAGAAGAGGGAAAGAGACAAAAAAAGAAAGGGGAAGGAGGACGGAAAGGAAGAAGGAGAGAAGGAAGGAAATAAATTAGTATCATCTCCCTTTGAATTTGAGCCGATATTCATCCGACACAGGCTGTTAATTTACTTGACATTCACAAAAAACTTTCCATAAATGGCCATGCAGATAAGGTCTTCAGCTCTTGACTGTGAGGTCAAGCAGGTGTCCATGATTTTAGGATTTCAGAGAAACTTGCGGCATTTCATGTAAAGGTTGTATGTTTGTTCATTCACATGCATATAGATTTTTTTTCCTAGAGAAGGTCAGAAGCTTTCACCAGGTTCTCAAAGTAGACAATAACCTCAAAACCTCAAATGAAGGACTAGATCATTGTCTTGATCTTCTCCTGTACCTGCTCTTTAATCTGCGTGTGTGGATCTGATATAGGTTTGAATATTTGTCCCTCTTCCTTGTACACTTTCAAAGTCATCAGAAAGCTAAAGATGGGATATGATCTCTTTCCGCCCAACATGGGCAGAAAGTCCACCATATGTATATGTAATTTTTCAGGGTACAGTTGACACACAGTGTTACATTAGTTTCAGGTGTACAACATAGTGATTCAACAAGTTTATACATTATGCTCTGCTCACTGCAAGAGTAACTACCATCCATCACCATGCAACACTATTACAGTATCATTGACTATATTCTTATGCCTTATTCCTGTGACTTATTCATTTCATAACTGGAAGTCTGTACCTCCCACTCTCCTTCGCCCATTTTGTTCATCCCCCCACACCCTTCCCCTCTGGCAACTATCAGTTTATTCTCTGTATTTATGGGTCTGTTTCTGCTTTTGTTTGTTTGTTTGTTTGGTTGGTTGGTTGGTTGGTTGGTTTTTTAGATTTCACATGTAAGTGAAATCATATGGTATTTGTCTTCCACCTTATAGTCTTAATTGTCTTTGAGTTTTGAAAATTCAGCTTTTTCATAGCCATGGCTCTATCATTACAAGAAAGAGACAGGAAAAGGGAGGTGTGTCACTGAGTTCGGAGAAAATGCCATGGAGCCTAGAAGATTTTCGGGAGCATCACTCAGTACCCAGAACCTAACTCCTCATTCACCACTCTCCCTTGAGCTCTTGTTCCTTTCACTACTCAGCTTCTCAAAAATGTGCAAAATAAATTCTGAAGGCATTTTATTTTGAAGTTCTACAAAATTTTTTGACAAAAAAGATACTAATCTTCAGATTGAGCTTCTTTTCTAAGGTGTGACCCAGGCCTTCTTGAGGAAGTCTTATCTCTCTTGGTAACTAGCAGCCACCATTTCTCCCTCAGATGTCCCTTGAATTGTGCTGCTGGACCTGAACAAGAGAGATGTTTCTACTGAGGCCAGTCACTTGCTGGCTTGTCACTACTGAGGATGGTTCCAAACACGACCCCCAGAATAGCATCCTTCTGGGAAGAAGTTAGCCCAAAACACAGCTCCCAGGGACCAAGGGGCTTGTCACACTTCTAGAGAAACTAGGAAGACTTTTATAAGTATAGCGTTTATTCTCAAACATTGTCACACAATTTTTGGCTGCTCATCTCTTACAGATGGACATGAAGATCTAAATAAGTCACCTTTTAGAGGGAGTGCATATGAATCATGTCAGGTGCCTTTATGCATTTTGAATGAAATGTCTTCAGTACTCAGGCAGGATTGGACTAAATATAGTAGAGAAATAGGATTTTTTTTTTTTCTAGTTTCCCAACTGGCTGCAGATAACCTAAGGCCCCCTGGGATGGCAGGCTCACAGCAACTCTACATGTTCTCAAGCGGTCGTAGACCTGTAGGACTTCTTCCTTTTTGAAATAGAACTAAACACAGTTCTATGAAAAGAAATTAACCAATAGGTTGGTCTTAATCTTGCCTTCAGTAATTCCTCTTTTTTGTTTCAATTGGATAATTTTTCCATTCTGTATAGTGAAAAATATATAATCATTTATCATCAAGAGTTGAATGAATAGATGGAGTGCCCTTCAAATTCCACATATTTTAATATGGAGGTTTCCCTACTATTGGAAATAAATCCAATTCACAAATTCCAGAAGAATAGAGAACCCCTCTAGAATCAGCCTCAAAAAAGGATTCAGTAAGCACATTCCTACAGATGGCTTATTGCCAGATGCTGTCTGAGGGAGGATCAATTTTGTTCAAGGTTCTTCTCCATAGTAACAAACCAGTGGTGTGGTGATGACTTTTCCATAGAGTCCTCTGCACCCAGCCTTTTAGGGATGTGGGATTATAGGACATTCAGTTCTTCCTCTCATAGATGCTTTTATTACCTATATACTGACACTCAGGATTCCTGTCATCTGCCCAAAAAGGGCATCTCAGCCCTTGGGTTCAGCTTTGGTGACAGTTATTAGATTCAATGTTTAGTGCATCATTGTTTATGATGTTTACACTACTTACCCATCTCCTAAATTTGAATGTTTTAAATTTTTTTGTTTTGATCACCTGTTACTTCATGTGTCTATGATCCTTAGTAAGCCCATCACTTACGAAAATATGCGAGAATGCATATCTACTGCTATTCAGTGTCTTTGACTGAGGATTTTGCAGAAGGTCATGGCCAAATGTTCTAACCACAAACGTAGACAACAGGAAGAGTGCCTCTGTGTATGTTTAATTTTGATTCTGTTTTAGGAGATAAAGGAAAGACACTTCGCCTGAGATTGCTCTTGGGTTTTTTTTTTCTTTTAAAGAATAGAACAGACACATTACTGAAGGCGGATTTGAAAAATTAACTGGGGAAAAATTCTGACGTGCTGTCAGGGTGAAAGCTGTCTTTTAATGTTAGGCATTATTGAGCTAAAACTTTCCAAGGTGGGTTCTGTTCTTGAGCTCAGTTCACATAATGCACTGCTATTTTAGAAACCCCATTTCTTCATCTTCAAAGTGCAGGGGTGGAGTCGTTCGTAGATTCTAGATGTCAACCCATCACTGTGGTAATTATGCGGGTTTCCCCCTGCACCCTCCCTCGCCTTGCTCTAGCATACCCAGGAGAAATCCCTGATTGCTTACCTGTAACAGTGAACCAACATGAGGGAAACAGAAGTAACAGAGGATCACAGGCTGTGGGTGCTACGGTAACAAACATTATGAAAATTACTATTTGATTGATAGATAAAATAGAGTCGACAGGATTTGCTGCTCTATTTTTCATAAATTATTGGAAGAAAGAAAGTAAAGTTGGTCTGCTGGGGGTTACTGACAAAGGAGATAAAACATATTTTGAGAAATCTCTGTAAATTCTGCATTTCATTTTTGGGGGCTGTGACAAGAATAAGGTGATGTTTCTGTCTCTGGGGGGAACGCAGTGGAGCTGTTGTTGGTGATGGGGACAGGGCTGATTAGACGTGATGGAGGACGCGCGCCCCCTTGTGGCGCCGCTGCGCTACTGCAGCCGGCGGTGGTCGCCTGCAGGCATGAGGAGGAGAGGGACCTCCGGAGAGAAAGAGGGGAGGAAATCCTTTGATGTGCATATTGTTCAAATTAAAGAGGAATTTTTTAATGTCTTATGTCTCATAATTCACATGAGAGCATTCACAACTGGGAAAGATTACTTCCA